TACGGTGCCTGCACGGGCGCGGCGCAGCTTGTGAAGGGCGTGTGCAATACCGGCGAGGCGCTGCGTGAGACGGCGAGGGGGTCGCGCTACTGGAACAGCCAGGAGGGGCGCTGGGTTGACGTGCAACTCGCCACCGCGCTCGCCGACCTGCCCACCTCTGACGCCGATCTCTTCGCACGCGCGCGGGAGCTCTACCGTGAGCTGCAGAGCGGCGTGGGCACGCACGCGCCAAAGGGGGATGGGGCGGCGGAAGCAGCAGCTGCAGGGTCTGAAAATGGGAGGAATTACTACGCCGTTGTGGGTGTCGAGAGAACGGCGACGCCGGCGGAAATTCGGAGCGCGTTTCACCGCAAGGCACTCGAAATGCATCCAGATAAGAACCCGAACAACCCAGAGGCCACGAGACGTTTTCAAGAGCTGATTGAGGCGAACGCCGTTCTCTCTGATTCTGAGCGACGCGCTTACTACGACACGCACGGGGTGGCGGAGGTGGTCCTCGATGAGAACTCGTCGTACAGCCGAATAGAGGAAGGTCTGGGGGCGGCGTTTCTGGAATGCTTCATTGGACGCATAGCGTGGGCGCTGTACTTAACTCCAAAGGTTTTTATCAACGAAACGCTCTCTAAGGAGTTTCAGAATCGTCGAACTTTGCGTTTGGCGCAACAACTTCTGCGCTACGTTGACGAGGAGAACGGAGTGGAGGCGGCGCTACCTGCTATTCGAGATGCCGTGTCCACACCAATGGGCCAGAGGTTCATGCCGATTGTGGCGCGCCAGTACACTGTTGCTGCCCGTCAGCATCTAACCTCCAATGTGTTTTGGCGGGAGCTGGACAGTTTCAGCACCTCAAAGGTCTCTGCCCTTTCGAGGGCTTTCAAAGCGACCAAAGTCGGAATACCGACGGCTTTTAAAGCAAAGCAAGACTCTCTTAACGAGAACGATGTGGTGGATTTTCTTGCAGCAGTAAGCCAATCTGATGTGGAGCGGACTGTTCTTCGAGCATCCCGCTTTATTTTGTACGACACATCTGTACCACCAGAACAGCGAAAACGGCGGGCGGAAAATCTGGCCAAGCTCGGCCTCGTCGTTAAAAATACCTGCCAAGCTGCTTGTGCCGAAGCATGAGGCCGATATTCCAAAGAAAAAAAAAATAATTAGCTACGTTGCCTGATATTCTCTTTTTTTTTGTGACTTAAAGATCATTTAGGTGGAGGAGAAGCACCACCCCTCTTTGGTTCTCTGACGTCACGCCCTGCATTGCACTTTCCAGCCCAATCATTTTTTTAACAAAAACAAAATATGAATTACGCATGCATAGACACTGCTACAAGCATTGCTCCTCTCACTCTTGCGCTCGTGTAGTATATATCCCGTATACTGTAGAAGTGGCGATGAAGAAGCATAGCGAATCACACACAAAGTCGAATGAGCATCTTCACCCTGCCTCTAATAAGGCCCTGCAGACAACGTCCTCGCCCGGCAACACCAAAGAGACCGGGTGCCAAGTGAGGCGCCAGACGTCGGTGCAGTGGAATAGTGACGCACCGGCGGTGTTTGGGGTGAAAAGCTCTGCAGCGAGTGGGCACGGAATGGACGCTCCGCGCTCTGCTGGGAGACCACGAGCAGCAGGCGACTTCCGACAGAATGTGATGGAGTTTCTGCACGACATGTACGGCAAGGCTCCACTCGACGATCCGTCAGCGAAGGCTCCGTCTAAAACCCCCACCCGCCGACCACAAGAAGGAATGCCACCGCTACCGGTCTCTTCGAAGCACTTGTTGAAGCCGTCACCGCGGCGGCCCGATCCGCCGCTGGATCGGCGGGCACTGACCCACCACGGCCTGCCTGGCTGTCGGTCGCCGATTCTGAAGAGCGTCCCCGCGAGCAGCAGCGTCTCAGAGGACCACCTTGACACACTTCTGGACCACATCATCGATGGATATAAACGTAGGAGCGCGCGAGCAAAGAAGCCGGTGCCGTCGACGGCTATCAACAATAACAATGACGGTGATGTTGTCTCGATGTTTGTGAGCCACGCACTTGACAATTTTTTGGTGAAGGAGGCTTCCTTCTCCGCCTGCAATCCGAAGTCGACGGAGTCCTTTCTCTCGGCAGGCGCGGACGGCTTCTTCCCAAAGCTTCTCTCGTTCCAGGCGCAGAGTCAAATGAGGATCGATGATGACGAAAGCGAAACACTAGTAAAACCTGTCTTTGATGTGAAGATGGCAACATTTAAGCCCGCTGAGTCACGTGCTGGGGTGAGTGTGAGCAAATCTCTGCCGCTAGGACCAATGACGCCTGAGTATTTCGAAAAGATGGGCACGGTGGCCTACAAAGACACTCCAATCTCCCGCAACAAAGCCCCACAGATTGCTTTTAATAATGCACCAAGACCGATGGGAAACAACTCAAGCTTCTCGCGTAATATGTCACTTGACTCAGGTGGACTCAACTCGAAACTGGGCGACAGCTGGGGCAACGATGTGGAGCAAAACACGACGGGAAATTCGGTTGTCGACAAGAAGCAGGGTAACGTGAGCAATGTGGCAAATTCCAAACTGCCGTTGGTATCATCAACGCGCTCGCTGCTGCACCACGCTAAAACAGTAAAGGCGGGCAACTCGAGCAGCAATAAGGATGAAGAGATTGAGTGCCTGATGCACGACGAGGATTTAAAGCGTAACGTGCTGATGGCGGTAGAGTCTCGCTTTAGAACTTACCTCTGGACGCTTGAGAAAGATGAGGCAGCAGAGCGTGTGGCTTCTGTTAAGGTATGTGCAAAGGATAAAGGTGACCCTCATAGCCGGCAGAATGCACGGGAGCCAAATGCGGTATCGCATCAACCCATGGTGCAAAACCTTCTCGACTTCTTTAAGAACTAAAGAAAGTTTTAGAGTGACACCCTTGCTACGACGCAGTGACTTTTTCTTCCGTCCTGTTTCACGTGCGTGGGGTAAACAGAAGTATATATCTATATATCTATCTACCTATCTATCTATCTATATAGTGACTCTGTGTATGTGTGTATTTCGTTACATTCCCCTTCATCTCTTTTTTCCTTCCTGCACTCTGATCTTTCGATTTTCTTCCTTTTTAATTCATGTATGGGAGTCTCCTTTTCTAGTTTTTTCAACCTAGAAGAGGGCGGGGTTGTTCTGCTCTTTCTTCTTATGTGGTAAAGATTATACCTCATCCTTGTGTTTCTCAATGTTTCGCTCTGTCTCTTTAAGCGCGTTGAAGAGGGATGGCTTGATAGCCTTTTCCCCCATTCGTGCAGCGCNCCCCCCCCCCCCACCGCTTCTCATTGCAATTCCTTCCTGTTTCGGCCTGTTTTCTTTAACTACCCAAGTGTCGTTGTGTTTTCTCCAGTGCCATCCATGGGTCATGTGAATCGATGCTGGCGCACGATAGATATATTTCTCTAGCCTTTGGAGTGACTGAGGCATTATTGAACACGTCAGAAACGAATTTGTTTTCTTTGTATATGAAAACTCCTGCTGTGTCTCATCATTCCGAATCCCCGGTACATATGTTGACGGGTGTACCATGGAGGCCCCACACCCACTCTCACACACTGACGTTGAGATCGTTGCGATGGCTCACCTGGCTCTTTTCCCACTATTTTTTTTTGTCGCCACGCTTGAATTNCTCTCACACACTGACGTTGAGATCGTTGCGATGGCTCACCTGGCTCTTTTCCCACTATTTTTTTTTGTCGCCACGCTTGAATTTAGAGTTGTTGTGTGCACGAGCCTGTTGTTCATTGCTAGTGTCTCCTGTGTTGTGGCTTGGTAGACGCTGCAGGGGTACAACTACTATTGAAACGTTTGCGGTTGCATTGACAATTGGCTTTCGAGGTTCATGGCGTGGTGCGCTTCGTGCTGCATCGACCCACCAAAGTATGTGAACGGCAAGCCAACCGTGTCTGGCGGCGACATCGCCCCTGTCTTTGCGGACGGCCGTCTGTTCCGCATCGTAAAGAGAAAGAGGTGGTACTACTACAACGATACGCAAGACTCTGAGATGCATGTGGGGATGAAGTTCGGCGGCGGCTCCGTCATTGAGGCCTTGGGGAAAACGAAGTTTCGCCAAACCGGCAGCGCCGGTGCCACCACCGCCACGCTGGTTATTATGCCGCTCGAGACGGAGCCATTTATAGAGGGCGTACCGCTGAGTTGGAATGGAACTGCTGTAGCGCGTCCTTTCTCGGCAGTTGAAAAGGCGAAGTTTGCGCAACTAAACCGCATGGTGGTGGTGCGAGAGATGGCTGCGGTGTCAAAGGTGCTTCATTTGCAGGGAGGCCGCAACAACACCATTGACGAGGAAAAAGCGTTGCATCTCTGTCTGAAGCACCACATCGCGTATGTGGACATGAATTTTCCACCAATCAACAGTTCGATCCGGCACCCGAGCGATAGCTCGACTAAAAATATCGTCTTGCGGGACCTCGACAAGTTCTCATGGCGCAGGCCGAAGGACTACCTCCCCAAGTCGTGGCAGAAGCGCATTGCACTCTACAAGCATGGCGTGAATCCGCGAGCCATTGACCAGGGAAAGCTGGGCGACTGTTGGCTAATGTGCTCTATTAGCGCGTTAGCAGAGCACTCAAAGTCCATTCGTTCACTCTTTCTCAGTCCACACTGGTGCTGTCGCAGGTGGCGGGAGGAAAAGGCTGGGGCCTACCGTGTTATGCTCAACTTGAACGGGTGGTGGCGTACCTTGGTGCTGGACGATTACTTTCCATCTACTTCGAAGCTTCCCTGCTTTGGACGGACCCGTGAGGCCCCATGTGATCTTTGGGTGTCTCTACTGGAAAAGGCTTACGCCAAGGCGTACGGCTCATATGCTGCCATCTCTGGGGGAGCACCGGCCTATGCGCTTCAGGACCTGACTGGATTCCCAACGTTTGACTTTTCAAAGATGTGGACCGCCGCGCTGAGGAACTCGGAAGCGGCGGAAGTTTTCTTCAAGAAGCTGCATGAGTGGCGGCATCAGAATTACCTCATCACCGTCAATACACCAAACAGTGACCTGCGTAGCTACTTGGCAAGGCGTAGAATTAGTCGAGACGCAAGGGAAACGGAGATGCTGTTTGAAAAGGCCGGTCTTGCACTTGGGCACGCCTACACTGTGCTCGCTGTGAAGCACTTCCCCCTTCACGGACTTTGCATGCTAAAGATACGCAATCCGTGGGCCAATAAGGTGGAGTGGAGTGGCGATTGGTCAGACAATAGTGCAATGTGGAAGACGTATCCGCTTATCAAGGTTATCTGTCGCCCAGAGAAGAAGGCAGACGGTATCTTTTGGATCGAATGGAAAGATTTTGTTCGTTTTTTTGAGGATGGCTGTGTGTGCTTCTATCGCCCCGGTTACCACGAGTACCGCATCCCAGGTGTGTTCCACTGGGAGATTCCAAACGTGGTCCTCGAGGTAGTTGTGAAGGAAAGGTTTGAGGCATGGTTGGTGCTGGTGCAGAAGAGCACGCGTGGGCTGCATTCTTCCGACCCGGAGAGTAAGTACACCGGCCTTCTCATCAACCTCTCGTGTGCGGATGGCACGCGGCAGAAAGTCATACGCTGCTCGGCCGAGAATGCCGAAGACGAGTCTGAGCGTTACCTCTTTGTCATGGGCAAGACGGTGGCGCTCAAATACGAATTTATGCCGGAGAATTCGCCCTACTACGTCATCCCCCGTCGAATGATGCACAGCCAGGGCGATGTAACTGACAAAAGATATGTTCTGGCGCTGCTGGTAAAGAATAAAATCCGAAGCTCCTCTGCGGAGGTGAATCTGCGGCGTCTGACAAGTAACTGCGCTGTGTTTAATAGCATGAAGGTGTTTGATCTGAGCGGCGTATCGAAGGTGAGCACAACCTTTCAATACAAGGCTGCGCATGAATTACCTGTGGCCAAGCAGGGGTCATCATTACACAACGCGAAAACCTGTTCTTGATGATTGTGTGTCTTTTGAATCAGAGCGAGGTCACTCATAGTTTCTTGATACACATGGGGTTCTCTCTGTTGCTCAGACTGAGCGCCATGCGGTGTTTAATGGTAGACTGTGTTCTTCTCTAAAGAGGAGAGACAACCTCGTGTGTTTTAAAATATTCTTTAAAATCATGACAAATTAGTTTCGGTAGCATTCCTTCATCTCTGTGGTGTCATTGTTGTTGTTTTTTTTTTTGTGAGGGAAATTATCGCCTTTTCCAGAATGAGCATTATGTCGGAGCAATTGTCTTCGTGCCGTCTCTGGTTCGCTTCACTTATATAATCCAAGCGACAAATATCGCTGCTTGGTCGTTCCCTCTCCCCACTCGTAGGTTTGGTACGCACTGTATACATTCACCACATACTCCGCCCCATTTGTTTTTGTTGTTGTTGTGATTTTTATCTTTCTATCCGCGTCAAGCGCTGTCACGTCACCCTGCCATGACTTCTCTTCGCCCAGAGGCTCTTTTTTTTTTTTCTGCTCCGGATTGAATCCCCTTTATGCCACGTGGTGCTCCTCTTCTCTCGTGCTGTTTTCCCAGTGCCGCATGCCCGCTGCTGGCAAAAGGTTAGACGACAATGCCAGTCGACGTCTCCATGTTTCTTGAGCGGAATGCGTCTGCGCCGACTCCGCGGCTGCCAGGCCACGGCTGCTTCATCCGTGGGGCGCGACGCAGGGGCAAGACGTCCTTTGCGTTCCAGGCGGCCGTCAACACGGTACAGGACGGTGCCCGTGCTGTCGTGCTCTGCCAGGAGCATGTGCTTTACTCCAAAATGCCACAGCCGTTTACCCCCTTAACTATGCTCGATGAGGCGGCACTGCGCCGCATTGAGTTCGTGTATGTGGAGAGCCTCGCCGATGTTGTACGCGAGGTGGGCGGTTGGTCCACGCCGCATGAGGCCCCTGCGTTGGTGCTCGTCGATGACGACAGTCTCACGGACGCGGGGGATGTTAGGCGGACTGCGCAGGTGCTGTCCGCTCTGGAGAACGTGCACGAGTGGCTAACACGCATCGGGCAGGTGTTTCACTACGTGCTCGTCTCTAATAGCTTTGCGGAGCGGCAGCAGAGTGTCGAGCTCCCGTTTGCCGCCTTTCCGCTTGTAAATGCATTGTTCGGTTCTGCGGGAACCGTGTCGCTGCAGCCGACGCAATCGGAGATGACGCAGATGAAGCCACTGCGACTGGAGTGGCGCGACGGACTCGTGCTTCAGACAGATCACCCTCGCTGTAGCTATGCAGCCCTCCCTGCAGAGTGAAATGGACTTATCGGGGTGGCCGTCAGTGGCGTACGCAGGTATATGGAGATTGTAGTGCCCGCTTTTTTTTGAGGTTTATTGCGTTGTTTATGCTTCTTATTTGGTGAGTGGCGTCTCGGAAGGAAGAGGCTTTCAATTTTGTGTCTCCACACACACACACGCATATATATATTTAGTACATATAATATAATAATATACGTTTTCTGTGTGCCTTTTGTATTGCTCTTCTCGTGTGGAGATGTGTGCACGCCGTTTCCCCTTCCTTTGCAGTGCAACCGTTATATCTAGAGAGCGAAAACAAACATTATGCCGTGTTGCTGCTGCACGGGCAGGGACACGAAGGAAAAGTACGTCCTCCGCCAGGGCGACAAGGACACGAAGCCTGTGAAGAAGACCCGCAAGTTTAAATTCGGCGGCCCGACCCACCGCGGCAGTGCCTACGCCCTCCTGGACGATGGCAACTTCTACCGCGTGGAGGATGGCAAGCAGTGGCTCCTCTACAACGACACTTTGTCGTGCGAGATGCACCTTACGATGAGGTTTTCTGCTGACACAAGGATTGAGGCGGGGAAGCGCACACAGCTGAAGATCGAAGGCAAGGAACGTGTAGCCACGATTGTTGTCTACCCGCTGGAAACGTTGCCGTTCCTCAAGTTTGACACAAGCAAGGTGGACTACCTCAAATCCCGGTCGCTGGCGCGTCCGCTCACGCAGGAGTATTTGAAGAAGGTCAATGCCGAGACGAACGCGAAGCTGCAACGCGAGAGGCGTGAAGTATCCCGCATCTGCTCGCACAGTTACTCAGAGGAGGAGCTGCTGCACAAGTGCCGCCACACGAAGAACACAATGTACGTTGATCTGAAGTTTTCACCATGTGCGTTGTCCCTGCAACGGCCCACCGACAAGAAGAAGGTCGTCAACGTCCCAAATATCGTGTGGAAACGCACCGCTGACTATATTCCGGCAGATCGTCACAAAGACATTCAACTCTTTCGCGACGGAATTGACCCGGAGGACATCGATCAGGGACAACTTGGCGACTGCTGGCTGATGTGCGCACTGAGCGTTATTGCAGGGCGGCCGTCCATCGTGAAAGGCATCTTTCGGCACCCCGTCTCGTCGAGCAAGGCGAAGAAGGAGCAGAAGTGCGGCGCCTACCGAGTCACAGTCAACAAGCATGGCTGGTGGGAGAACGTCATTGTCGACAGCTACCTCCCTACCATGAATTGCCAACCGCTCTTCGCCAGGTGCTCGCGTGACCCATGCGAGTTGTGGGTCTCGTTCGTGGAAAAGGCGTACGCGAAGCTGCATGGGTCCTACGCCGGTATTATTGGTGGTGACGCGCTGTTTGCGCTGCAGGACTTCACAGGGTTTCCGGTTCTCTCCTTCGAGGCGGTGTGGTCCAAGGCGGCGCGCAACTCGGACGCCGCCTCAGCCTTCTTCAAGTCGCTGCGGCGCTACCAGGAGAAGGGCTACATGATCACCATTGGCACGCCTGGAAAGGACACCAGCGCATACACTGGCCAGCAACAGTCAGGGAAGGGCAGCAACGGCGCAATGCAGGACCGTTACAAGAGGGCGGGCCTCGGAATGGGGCACGCGTACTCCGTGCTGGACGTTCGGCAGTTCTCCCTGCCGAGTATCAAGCTGCTAAAGGTGCGGAACCCGTGGGGCGGCAACGGTGTTGAGTGGACCGGCGCGTGGAGTGACAAGAGCGACAAGTGGAAGAGTCACCCGCTTGTTCGCCGTGCGTGCAAGCCGTCGAAGAAGAACGACGGCACCTTCTGGATGGAGTGGGAAGACATTGTGAGGTACTTCGACGGTGGCGGTGTGTGCATGGTGCGGAAGAACTGGCACGACTACCGCGTTCGTGGCGTCTTTCTTGGGCTGACGCCGAGCGTTGTGCTGGAGGTGGTGGTGACCCGCAAAGTCAAGGTGGTGTTGGTGCTGTCGCAGCAGGACCGCCGCGCGCTGCATCCCGACGACCCCAACGCACTCTACAAGGGCCTCCTCCTCAGCGTCGGTGCCTACTCGCGGGAGAAGCAGCGCCACGTGCTACACGCCAACAGCTCAGCGGACCCCGAGGAGCCGTCGCCGGAGACGTTCACCTTCACCATCAGCCGCGACATCGGCATGGAGCTGACGCTGCTTCCGCAGCACTCGCCCTACTACATCATCCCGCGCGTCATGGCGAACAAGCCAGAGACGCCGAAAAAGTTTACGCTGGGCCTCCTCAGCCCGTGCAAGGTAGGCAGTGGCGGTTTGGCAGTGAACTTCAAGAAGCTGCCGCCCACGCACGACGCCTTTAAGAACCGCCGCGACTACACCACTCTGGAGGCAGCGCCGCTGCACGTAGAGTTTCAGCACAAAAAGCCCGGTAAGTGCGCTGTGCTGCGCGGGGGCGACAGTATCCAGAACTCCAAGAAGATTCAGTAGCTACGGGAAGCCAATTGCCACCACGCCTGTCTACATATATACGGGTATATATAGAAATGATAATACTTATTATTATTATTATTATATATCTATGCATACACGTATATTTCTTTATATGTATATGCTCACATATCTCTTTTGAAATACGATTTCAAGGACATGCAAAAAAGCAGACATAACAGTCAATAAACATGAAACACATACATTATTTCAAAGAGAAACAACGGAGCAAACGAGAGAAGGAGCATAGGTAAACTCATGGGTGCTGGTCGAGGCCACAGACACTGGGCTTAGCGTGTCGGGACTTATTTTGTATACACTTCGCCAGGCTCTTGTTTTGTATTTTGTCCCTTTCAGAGTCCCACGAAGAACCTCCACGCCGTTCTTGCTTTCGAATGAATTGCTGGTGAAGTGAGCCTCCATGGCTGCGTGTATTGTACAACTTGTTTTGCTTTTTTTTTTTTGGTGTGTTTTCTTGTTTCTTGTTTCCCGCTGCCGTTGAGGCATCTCTCTTGGTTCAATTGTCTTCGGTTTGTTGTTGCGGGCGTGTACCCCTCTATTTATGCTTGTACTAAATCACTTTTGCTGGGCTCCCGTCTTGCGATCGTCGTGTGGTCCTTCTCGCAACAACTCATACGAACGTATTCTCCGTGCGTTACTAAACAGCACGACTCTTTCTTCGCCCATATTCCCCCCCCCTTTCAGCAATTGTATGGTTGCGTCACACGCTCTCTCTTGCTCTCTGTCGCATACGCATACTCCCGGGCTGCTGTGGAGCCCACGCTCTCCTCTGCTGCCCCGCCACCTCATCTGTGGCTCGCGCTCTCGCTGCTCCCCTTCTGTGTGCATTCCCGTTTTGTCGGCGTCGCGTATATCGCGCCTTCAACACTCTGAAACAAAACGAAAAGAAGAATAAAAAGGATTAAAAGAAAAAAAGAGTCTTTTATATTCACACCCTGAAGGTCAGTGAAATAAAGGTACGACGCGATGGGTTGCTGTTCATCGAAGGAGAAGCAGCCACCGAAGCAGGCGGCTCCCGCAGCTACCGCCGAGAAGGTGAAGGTGGAAACGGCGCCCAAGGAGGAGGTAAAGGTCGAGGTCCAACCGACGCAACAGTTAAGTGCGGAGGAGCAGCGGCTGGAAAGGGTGAAGGCATTGAAGAGCGCCCTCTTCAGGTACGAGAAGTGTACCGTTAATGGCGTGATCACATCCTTCTTCCCTCCCAAGGGCATGTGCTTCCGCATCGTCCGCGACGACACGTGGTACGTGTACAACGACACCCTGAACTACGAGATGCACGTGAACTTCCTCTTCGCCCCCGGCTCAGCCATCACACCCTCCAGCCGCGCGAAGGTGGCAACGTCCGCGAATGGATGGGCTGTTGTTTCCGCCGTGGTGTATCCGTTGGAGACCGTCGAGTTGGTTTCGGGTGAGATGGGGGTGCACAAGACAGATGTCTCCGCCCACCCACTCTCGGAGGAGTACTACCGCAAGGTGGAGGTCCTCACTCGTGCGGCCGCCGACCAGATTTTGAAGGTGAAGGAATTGGCACGTGGCTCCACCGACGAGGAGGTGACACTGCGACGCTGCATCGAGAGCAACACGCCCTTCGTTGATCTGTCTTTTGAGCCGTGCGCGGNGCTCCACCGACGAGGAGGTGACACTGCGACGCTGCATCGAGAGCAACACGCCCTTCGTTGATCTGTCTTTTGAGCCGTGCGCGGCTATGCTGTCGCGTCCCCGTATAGATGGGCGCAAGATCCCGCCAACGGCGTTGCGGCGCCCAGGCGAGTACCTTGAGGATAGCAAGGCAGCAGTGGACGATATTTGCGGCCCTGTGATGCCGCAGTGCATCGATGGCGGCATTCTCGGGGACAAGTGGCTCATGTGCGCAGCGTCGATCCTCTCGGAGGATGAGGCACGCGTCAAGGAGATGTTCGCAGAAGGGAAGCCGGAGGAAAAGCGGCTCGGCGCGTACCGTGTGTCAATCAACAAAAACGGGTGGTGGAACACTGTCCTTTTAGATGACTTCCTGCCAAGCGTCAACGGTGTGCCGTGTTACGCGCGCGTGCTCGATAACCCGGCGGAGCTGTGGGTCTCGCTGCTGCAGAAGGCGTACGCGAAGGTGCACAACTCGTACGCCAGCATCACCGGTGGCGACTCGGCGCTGGCGCTGCGTGACTTCACCGGCGCCCCGTCGCACCGCTTCGACGCGGCGTGGGTGAGCGCGACGCGGGACGGGAAGGGCGCGGACGCGATGCTGGACAAGCTCGAGCGCTACACCGAGGCGGGCAACATTGTG